TGGGGTGAAACTGTGTATCTCATTGTTGTTTTGATTTACATTACTCTGATGTCCAATGATTGTGAGCATCTTTTCATGTATTAGTTGACCACCTGAATATCCTCCTTGGTAAAGTGTCTATTCATGTCTTCTGCCCATTTTTCAATTGGATTGTTAATTCCTTTGGAATTGAGGCATTGGAGTTTTCCATCAATCTTAGAGATAAGTCCCTTGCCAGATAATGTAATTATCATCAAATATGAATTGTTGCTGTCATTTTTGTCATGTGCTTTTTCATTGTGTCGATTTCTTTGTTCCATATAATTTTCTATGCTGAGCTCGTTTGTTTATGAATCATGTTATCACTTCCTTCATTGCTATTGTTTTAGTATTTGCTGAATATTTATACTGGGCCTCTTTTTGACGTGAAGGTTTATAATTTTCCTTTGAGGTTACCAGGTGATTTATAGTTTTCTTCCCAAGTGTAGAACAGTCTGTTCTATCTTGTAGTTGTCTTGACTTCCCTACCATCTAGAAGTTCTGTAACAACAGAGTTTTTTCCCTCTTTTTGGTCTGTAGTTGTCCTCATTTATCGGTTGGTGTCTCTAGTTCCCTGTTTACAATCTTGTAGGCTTATTTATTTTGGATACATCCATAGCTGGGTTGGTTTCTGGGTTATATCATCATGTGTGTTAATGGTCAGTTGTTGTTGGCTGTTGTTGCTCCTCTGTCCAAAGGGTTCCCTTTAGCATCTCTTGTAAGGTTGGTCTGGTTTTAACAAATTCCCTTAATTTCTGCTTATCTGAAAATGTCCTAATTTCACCATCATATCTGAGGGACAATTTTGCTGGGTACATAATTCTTGGTTGGAAATTTTTGTCTTTCAGTGTTTTATATGTTCCATCCCACTGTCTTCTCGCCTGAATGGTTTCTGTTGAGAAATCCGAGCTTAGAATGCTATCACTTTAAAATCCAAAATTGTTGGCACTTGTAAAGATTCAAAATGGCTGCACCCTCGGTCACTTTAAATATCGAAAATGGCCACCGCTTGTAAACATTCAAAATGGCTGCACCCTCAGTCATCTTAAATATCCAGAATGGCCACTGCTTGTAATATTCAAAACAGCTGTGTCCTCGGTCACTAAATATCCAAAATGGCCACTGCTTGTAAACATTCAAAACGACTGTGCCCTCGGTCATTTTAAATATCCAGAATGGCTGCCACTTGTAAACATTCAAAATGGCTGTGCCCTCCGGATAGCAGAAAGTCCACAGCTCAGGTTGTCTCCCTCCTTGCTGTTTCCCTCCTAGTCATAAGCCACCAGAGCAGTTGTCCTTGCAGCCCTTGCTGACCAGGACTTATCTTTAGGTCAGTTCTCAGGTTCCAACACCACTTGGAAATATTCAGGCTGTTGGTCTCGTCAGAGTAGCTGATAGTCCATAGCTCTGACCGTCTCGGTACTCACTGTTTTCGTTCAGGTTTTTCCACTAGTTGGTGCCTAATCCACTTCTATATAATTCCTTTCAAAGCTCAGGGTTCTAGGATTATCTTCTGTATCTCTGTCAATTGGTTTTTCTTTTCTTTGTTGAAGAGGGTTTGTGTTGCTTGTCTGCCTATTCTTCCATCTTACCGGAAGTCTCCTGTAATGCAATTATTGATACAGGTAGATTTAAGACTATCACTTTTCTATTTGTTTTCTATCTGTCCCATCTGTTCTTTGCTCCCTTTTTCTATTTTATTTTGGATTACTTTTATTACTCCATTTTTGTCTCCTTGTTAGCTTACCAACTCTTTATTTTTTATTGTAATAGTTACTGTAGAGTTTGCACTTATTTTACTTTCAAGTGAGATTGTATCACTTCACGTAAAGTATAAAAAACCCAAGTCAAATCTGTTGCCATGAAATCAATTCTGACTCATAGCAACTCTATATGATAGAGTCAAACTGCCCCATAATATTTCCAAGGGTGTAATCTTTACAGAAGCAGACTGCCACATCTTTCTCCCATTGAGTGGCTGGTGGGTTCAAACTGACTACCTTTAAGTTAGCAGCCAAACGCTTAACCACTGCACTACCAAGGTTCCCTCACAGATCATATAGAACTGCACAATTCCATTTTTCCCTCCTAGCCTTTACGGTATTGTTGTCACTTATTTCACTTTTACATGTGTTATAAACCCCAAAATACACTATTTTTAAAAAAACAGTCAATTATCTTTTAAAGCTATTTAAATGATATGAAAACAATCTTACATATTTGCCCACTTACTTACCATTTGCACTGTTCTTCAGCATTTTATGTAGACCTCAATTTCCATTTCCTATCATTTTCCTTCCACCTGGAAGGATTCCTTTAACATTTCCTTGAGAACATCCTGGGAGCTATGGCATAGTGCCTAAGGCATTTGACTGCTAACCAGTCAAATGTAGCAGTTCAAACCCACCAGCCACACCTCTGAAGGAAGACTGGGCAATCTACTTCCACAGAGATACTGCCTTGGAAACCCAAGGAGGGGTCACTATTAGTGGGGACAGACTCGCTGGCAGTGAGTTTATTTTTTGGTTTTGAGAACATCGTAGTGCAAGTATTCTGGTGATGAATTCTTTCAGCTTTTGTTTGAGAAAGATATTTTCACTGGTATAAACTTTAAGGTTGATAACTTTTTCTTTCTCTACTTTGCTCTATTCTCTTCTCATGTGCTTATTTTCTCCAGGATATCTGTTGGCATCTTTATCTTTAGTCCTTTGTACCTGATGTGTTTTTTTCCCCCCTCTGGCTACTTGTAAGATTTTCTCTGTATTATAGTTTTGAACAATTAGTTTATGGTATGCCTTGGTGGTGTTTTCTTCATTCTTCTATTTCATGTTTATTCAACTTCTTAGATCTCTAGCTTTTCCTCAAATTTAGAAAGTGTTTGGCCATTATTTCTTCAGACATTTGATATGCCTCCTTCTCTCCTTTCATTTAGAAACTCCAATTACATATATATTAGTCCACTTGAGGTTGTTTCATAGCTCACTGATGTTATTTTCATTTTGGATAGTTTCTATTACTGTCTTCAAATTCACTTCTTTTCACCTGTAGTATCTAATCTACCATTAATCCCATTTAGTTTATTTTTCATCTCACACATTGTAATTGTTATATCTGGAAGTTCAATTTGGGTCTTTTTTTTCCCCCTCATGTCTCTACTGAGCCTTTTAAGCATATGGAAACAGCTGTAATAATTATGTATTGCCCTTCTCTGCTAATTTTAAAACCTGTGCCATTTCAGGGTCAGTTTCTATTGACTGATTGACTATTCTCCTCATGATGGGTCATTTTTTTTCTTGCCTCTTCGCATGCTTGGCAATCTTTGATTAGATGCCAGACATTATTAATTTGACCTTGTTACACGTTGACTATTTTGTATCCCTGTGAACATCCTTGAGTTTTGTTCAGTTTGATGCAGTTACTTGGAATTAACTTGATCCTTTTAGATCTTGTTTTTATGATTTATTAGGTGGATCTAAGCAATGCTCAGTCTAGGGTTGATTATTCCCAGTATTGAAACAGAACCCTTCTGAGTATTCTACCTGATTTCCCCAGAATTATGAGTTTTTCTAGTCTGGCTGGTGGGGTTAGGCACCACAAGTCCTATATGAACGTCAGGTGCTGTTCCATTTATACCTATCGGATGATTCTATCTCCAGGTTCAGGATGTGTCTTCACACACGTGATTATCAGTATTCTCTCCTATACTGGAGGGGTCCCTCTGCTAATCTGTAGGATCCTCTCTCTGTACAGCTATCTTTTCTCCAGTAATATAATTTAATTACATTATAATATAATTATAATTCAATTTATAAATTATAATATAAATTATAATGTATAATATTATATTAATTATAATATAATATAATTTAATTCTCCAGTAATTCTCCTGCAAATTCCAGTTTTCTTGGTCTCCCTGGACTCTCTGTACCTGCTAATCAGTTAGTTTAGTTTTTTCCTTCTGGGTTCCCCCTCCCTGCACCCCAGCCTGGAAACTATCTCAAAGCAATAACCTTGGGTAATCATACGTCTCACCTTATTTTTATTCTCCGTATCAACAACAACAATATCATAGGAATCACTGTGCCTTGGAAACCATTATTCCATAATTTTGGTCTCTGGGTTTTCTTGTTTTTCATTTTATGAGTTTGTTTGTTTTTTGGTTATTTCAGGCAGGAAGATAAATGTGGTCCTTTTTACTCTATCTAGGCCAGAAATGAGTCTAACAGTTATTTGTTTTTATTCCTCATGGATCTGTGGGTTAGTTGGAGTTCAACTGATTTCATCTGGACTTGTTGGAGTTAGTTGGACTCAGCTGATTTCTGTTGGCCATCCATATACTGTACAACCTCTGGTGATGCAGTGGCTAAGGCATTTGTCTGCTAACCAAAAGGTTGGTGGTTTGAACTCACCAGCCACTACATAGGAGAAAGATGAGGCTGTCTGCTTCCATAAAGATTTACAGCCTTGGAAACCTAATTGGGTGGTTCTCCTTTGTCCTAAAGGGTTGTTCTGAGTTGGAATTAACTCGATACGCAAGAATATACAATTTAGTTGAAATTAAATTAGCCTGTTTTATAAAGAAATCAATACTAGCCACCATGATCTTTTTAAATATAATGCCACTAATTTAGAAGAGGGAGCTCTGGTGTCATAGTGCCTAAGGCTTTGACTGCTAACCAGAAGCCTGGCAGTTTAAACCCACCAGCTACTCCTCAGAAGGAAGAGTGGGCAATCTACTTCCATAGAGATAGCACCTCAGAAACCCAAGGAGGGGTTGCTGTGAGTCGGGATTGACTCCAGTGAGGTTTATTTATTTATTTATTTTTTAATTTAGAAGTCACAGGTACAGTATTGAGATTTTCCCAGCTAGGCTTAATTTCTAGGGGGAAAAAAAAAATGTGTATTTCTAAAAGTAACTGTGGATATTATCATTGAAACTTTAATTTTTTATCTAAAAATTAGAGGACAATGTATATAAAAATATGCAAGAATCACAGGAAACCCACATATCCAGCCACCTGGATGAAGTTGTTGCTGCTGTCAGCATACCGCCTAGAAGGATTCAAAACAAGCTGCCTCAAACAGCACTGTTCCAGCCTCCTCGAGAGAAACTCCAGCTCTGTGAAGAGAAAGCAAAGTCTTATTCCAGCAGTCACCACGTAAGGAGCCTTTCTTTTCTGTACCTGTATTCTAGTGAGTTATAAAATATGATCAAGAGGACAAGCACATTTTAGGTTATATTCCTAATCTTAAGAGTTTGATACAAGAGAGTATATCAGAGAGTGCCTTTCATTATACCACAAGTTTGGTACCCTAGGTACCAAACCCAACAGCTGGCACTGTACACATTCAGTATGCATTTATTAAATGAATGCACAAATGAAAAAACAAGTATACCACGATCTTTGGCAAGTGTATACCAAATGGATTGGTTGTAGGTTTGACTTACTATGGTCATTTTCAATCAGTCAACAAATATTTATTGAGCTCTTATTATATACCAGGAATCCACAGATGTTGCAGATGGTTAAGTACTTGACTACTAACTGAAAAGTTGGTGGTTCAAACTCACCTAGAGGCTCCTAAGAAGAAAGGCCTTGCATTGTGCTTCTGAAAGATCACTATCTTGGAAACCCTATGAAGCACAGTTTTACTCTGCAACACATGGGGTTGCCACAAGTCAGAATTGACTCAATAGCAACTGGTTTGGTTTTTGGTTTTACTATGTGCCAGGTCTAGGCTCTAGAACACAACATAAACAGCAGATGAAGCTTCTGCTCTCACAGAGCTTATAATTCTTATATTTTTTTATCTTTTGGTCCTTTGCATATTTCTTCCCCATTCTGTCCTCAAAAGTTTTACTCATTCACTCACTCATTCAATATTCAGTTCTCTACTACCTATTATGTATCAGGCCCTGTTCTTCATTCATTTATTTCACCAATATCTAGTGTATGCCTAATATATGCCAAGTGCTGAGCAGGTACAAGGAAGACAGAAAGGCCAGCCCCTGCCTTCAAGGTACTCATAGTTTGGTTGGGAAGATAGTTGGACAGATAATTATAGTCATTGTGATAACTTCTGTGACAGATGCAAGTTTGGGGTGATACAGAAGCAAAATGGAGGTACAGTGAGCCTGGAGGTGGTGGAGGGACAGCAATAACACACACTTCTTCGGAGAGGAGTTGCTTGGACTGCATTGATAATAGTGCCCAGAACAGGGCAGAGGTATTTTGGACAGAGGAAGCAGATGGACCAGTGTGTTTGGAGAATTACAAGAGCTAGGCACAGGCATTAGTGAAACAGGAGGAAAATGAAACTGGACAGGAGCTGAGTTCCAGAGAATTTTCAACACTCAGCAAAGAGTTTAGATTTTCTCCTAAGAGTGTTGGGGGACCAACATAGGATTATCTGCAGGACAGTGGTATGAGCAGATTTGGAAGAAGGATGAGAAGGGAGCAAAACTGGAGGTAGAAGGTCCAGTTTGGAGGATAGTTGCAATAATCCTGGTAAGTAATTATAAGAGCCTGAACTATGACAGAGACAGTAGAGATGCTGAGATCTTTTGGAAGGATTTTAACAGTGCTAATCAGTGGAACGAAGGAGCTTTGGTGGGTAGTGGGTAAGGCATTTTGGATCCTAACCAGAAGGCTGGCAGTTCAAACCCACCAGGTGCTCCACAGGAGGAAGATGGGGCAAATCTACTTCTGTAAAGATTTACCTCCTTGGAAACCCAGTGAAGGCTGCTATGAGTTAGAATCAACTCCATGGCAGTGGGTTTGGTTTTAATATCATAGGCTGCTAAGAAAAGTATTTGAATGGAGAACTGAAATGTATCTGGAGGGCGGCCTGGGTAAGATGGCGGAATAGGCAGAAAGAATGCACAGATCCTCTTCAACAAAGAAAAGGGGAACCAATTAACACAGATACAGAAGATAATCGTGGACCCCTGAGCCTTGAAGGGAAAGATATAGAAGTGGACTAAACTCCAACTAGCAGAAGAATTTGCATGAAAACTCCAAAAAAGGAGACATACGGAGCTGCAGTCTGGCAGCGATCCTGACAGCACAGACAGCTTAGAGATTCCCGAGTGCTGGTAGGACCTAACAATTAGCCTAAAAATCAGTGCTGCTGGCCAGGGACGGCATGGAAGACTGCTCTGGTGGCTGGGGAATAAACAGAGAAGGCGAAGAGAAAGTTCTGGCAGCGATCCTGATGGCACAGACAGCTTAGATATTGCCGAGTGGTGGTAGGACTTAAGAATTAACCTAACAATAGGCCCTGCTAGCTAGGAACTGCACAAAGGACTGCCCTGTTGGCTGGGGAATAAAAAGGGGATGCTGCAAAGAGGAAAGCGGGCTGAACTGTGGACTTTTGTCTGTCCGGAGGGTGCAGCCATTTTGAATGTTTACAAGTAACTTGACCATTTTGGATATTTGAAGTGATAGCATTCTCCCAGATTCCAGGGATTTAGGAACAGGCTCCACTTGCCAGGAACCCCAAGGATATTCTGGACCCGGATGACTAGAAAGGTGCAACATTCCCCTTGTTACTCTTATACCCCACACCCACTTGGTGAATGGAGGTGCAGCCATACCTCACTCCCACCCACTTTCTGGCCTGGCAAAAATTCCATCCCAGTCTGTGTGCTTGGACGGAGCCTGGGTGACGTGCCCTGATTTTTTTTTTTTTTTTTTCCTTTTCTCTATTTTTTAGTTAGTTTGTTTTTGTCTGTTTTAAAACTATTATTACTTTTGTCTTTTTTACTTTTATTCTTTATTCTTCCCCTCCCAAGTTCTAGTTTTCAGCTTTTTTCCTTTTTCCTGTTCCTGGTTGTAATCTTTTTTTCTTTCTTATGGTTAACCCTATTCCTTGTCTTTCTTTTTGCATTTTTCCTATTTTTTTCTTCATTTTTCTCCTTCTCTACCTCTTCTCTCTTATTGCCGTCTCCCCAGATATTGCAGGGTTATGGTTTTTTTTTTTAATTATTATTCTTTTTCCCTTTTTCTTTTCTTAGTTACTGTTCCTGTGTGATTCCACAGTGTATTTTTTGCCCATTTGCTTTTAATTACTTTTTTGGTGGTTATTTAATTGTTATTTTTGTCTAACTGAGTGGAAGACAACAATAGTCCCCATACGACACAACTACACCCATACCTCCTGCAGCTTCACTTACTGAGTGAGAGCCACCACTTCCTTCTCCACCAACAGGCCAATGATAAACAACCACCAAGAAGAGCCTGACTCACCCTTGGCTGCCCTTCACAAAGAGTTAACAGATCTAAATACAATAACGCCAGCATCTCTCGGAGACAATAGACCATCACAGTCCACACAAAGAAGCAAGATAAAGTGGTAGAAACAAAGGAGCAGGATACAGACCCAGAACACATCCCTGAGGAAGCAGCAGCATTTGGAACTCTCTGATAAGGAATTCCAAAGAATTATATTTGGGTATCTTCAAAGTATTGAGAGACAGAGCAAGGAAAACACAGAAAAAAACTTAGAATAATTTTGGAATAAAATGCAAGAACAAAATGACAAAATGAATGAAAAATTAGAAATGATTCAAAATCTACAGATAGAAATTCAGAAGATCAATACTAAATTGTCAGAAATAGATAAGACATTGAAAAGGCAAAGGAGTAGAATTGATACAATTCTAAGACAGAATTAATGAAATTGAAGACAAATACCTGAATACTTCTTTGGAAAAGGATCAATCAGAAAAAAGATCAAAACAAAATGAAGAAAGCCTAAGGTTCATGTGGGATATCATCAAAAGGAATAACCTACGTGACACTGGAATTCCAGAACAGGAAGAGAAAAATAAAACCACTGAGAAAAATGTCGAAGATTTATTGGAGGAGAACTTCCCTGATATGAAGAAAGATGAGAATATATCCATTCAGGAAGTCCAACGAACCCCAAACAGAATAGATCACAAAAGAAAATCACCAAGACACATCATCATCAAACTCATCAAAACCAAAGACAAAGAAAGAATCCTGAAAGCAGTACAGGAAAAACAAAAAGTTGCTTACAAAGAACAATCAGTAAGAATAAGCTCTGATTTCTCAGCTGAAACCATGCAAGCGAGAAGGAAATGGGATATTGTATATAAAACCCTGAAAGAGAAAAATTTTCAACCAAAAATTATATACCTGGCAAAATTGTCCCTCAAATATGATGGTGAAATTAGGAGATTTCCAGATAAGCAGAAAATAAAGGAATTTGTTAAAACCAGACCAACCTTACAGGAGATGCTAAAGGGAGTCCTTTGAACAGAGAAACAAAAATAGCAAACAAAAACCGACCATTAATACACAAGATGACATAACCCAAAAACCACAGCTATGGACATAACCAAAATAAAATAAGCTTACAAGATTGTAAACAGGGAACCAGAGACATCAATTGGCAAGTGAGGATAACTACAAACCGAAAAGAGGGAAAATACTGTATGGTTACAGAACTTCTAAATGGTGAGGAAGTCAAGAGAGTTGCAAGATAGAATAGACTGTTCTAATCTCAGGGAGAAAAGTATAAATCACAGGGTAACCTCAAATAAAAATGATAAACCTTCACATCACAATAAAAAAGAGGACAGCACAAATATTCAGCAAATACTAAAACAACAACAACAAAGGAAATGATAACACAACTCATAAACATAATGAGCTCAGCACCGAAATTAATATGGAACAAAGAAACCAGGGACACCATGAAAAAACACATAACAAAATGATAGCAACCAATTCATACTTGTCAATAATTACCCTGAATGTTAATGGATTAAATGCACCACTCAAGAGACAGAGTTGCAGATTGGATAAGAAAATAAGACCCATCAATATGCTGTTTAAAAGAGACATACCTTAGAGACAAAGACAAAAATAGACTAAATATCAAAGGTTGGAAAAAGATACATCAAGCAAATGGCAACTGTAAAAGAGCAGGAGTGACAATATTAATTTCTGATCAAATTGACTTTAAGACAAAAACCACCATACAAGACAAGGAAGGAC